CACAGTCTCCCTTGCCAGAGGGACCCTCACCATCCAAACCCAGGAACTGGACAGAACTGAACAGAACAGGTAGAAGACATGCTCTTGTGGCCCTTCCTTCTGGCTCCACCTCCTGCCCTAGGCTTCACACTGACCCTGAGGTCCCCTGGCCCCCTTCTCTGCGAACTCATTCTCATCCATGGCCCTTTTTCATTTGGAGAGTCATCATCGCTGCTCTATGGTGCCAAGAGACGATGAAGAAAAGGAAAGAGAGCAAAGAAGTCGCCTAGATTTGAGAGAGCAGAGTGAGCCAGCAACCCTGCAGAGAAAGAAACAGAGACAGAGAAAGCCAGAGAGCAGGAGCAGGGGGGAGGGGAAGATGGCACTGCGGAAAAGAGCGCCACAAAATTAATTTGAGGAAGGGAACAGTAGAGGAGACGTTGGCGGAATAACAATCAGGCAGTGAAGGCTGGGGAGAGGGGGAGGGCCTCGGGGTGGGGGGGCCATAGCTGCGGAGACACAGCAGCACCACCTATGGGCATGGCGGAGGGCTACAGACGGCAACAAAGAGCCCCCTCCGCCCCTCTCCCCGGGGTGTGAGACCACGGTGTAGACCTGGCTGGGCGAAGCCATGGCTTTTGCCCTTCAAACCCGTCACAATGCTCAGGTCAGGAGAATCAATTCTCATGATTCTCCTGGCTTAAGAGGGACTTAAGGAAGGGAAGCCGGCAGCGCCTGTGGGTGGGCGACTTCCACTGGGAGGGGGCTTCTCCCTCGGAATTCAGAGAAGAGTGGGAGAGGGGAGGAGTGTCGGGCGGGCACTAAAAGGAATGTGTGTGCCTGCTTCTCCGTTAACCACAGAGAGGATTTTATCTTTATTTCCCTGTGATTTCTGTTCCCACTGGATGCTAGAGAACAGCTCCCTCCCAGGCTGGGGGTGGGCAGAGGATGGCCCTCCCAGCACAGCCTTGAAACTCCCAACCATCATTAGAAACCCCCAGGGAGTCACCAAGGCCTGAGTAGGAAGGGGAAGGACCCCCCCCCCCCAAACAAGCCATCAAAGAGACCCAGGAAGGGGGCAGGAGGGTGGAGAGAGAGAGAGAGAATGCAGGGAGGGGAGAGAGAAATGTGATCAGTGGTATTTGTTGTGCTTCGAGGGAGGAAGGATCCGTCACATTTTTTAATAATAATAAATACATGAAGACAGATTTGCCAGCACCGCCCTGGCTCCTGGGGAAGTGTGGGGGAGGGGCGCCAATGCAGCTGCAGCAGAGACCAGTGGCTCCCTCCCCTCCCCCTGCAAGCACTGCAGCAGCCCACCCCTCCCCCCTCCAACCGCAATCCTCCCACCACAGCCCACCCTCTCCATGATCCCTTCACGCAGCCCTGCCCCCCCACCCCCCTCAAACCCAGGCTCTCCTTCCTGCCTGGGCCTCATTTAGCCATCCAGAGAGCGAGTATCCACCTAGTTCCTCCCCCATCCCAAGGCCCCACTCTTCCCCTATCCCAGCCCCTCACCAGCTAGCACTCATGGCCAACAACACGCCCCTTCCCCAGGCCATTTCAGCATTTCCTGGATTGCAGAAAAAAAAAAAAAAAGCAAAAAAAACAATTGTCTTTCCCCACACATACACACACCCCTGCCCATTTTTATTTCCAAGTGACCTCCTTTCCCACAACCTTACACATAATGGCCATCAGATGTGTTTGCGTTCGGGGGTGTCAGGGCGTCGGGACTAGGTGGTTGCTGCCACCTATTGACCCGAATTTGTTCAAGATAACCCTCTAATACACTTCTTACACAGGATGCTCTGCTATTTCAAAAGCGTCAACAGCTTAAACATGCAAAGGCATGGCTCTTGGGGCTTCTCGGAGACCCTCGGAACAATGAGATCAAAGAAATACAAAAGTGAGACTGGGCAGAGAGCCAGCGCAATGATGCCTTTCTCCACACAGGGCCAAGAAGAGGCTGAGTACAAGGGATGAAAAAGCAACCTGAGGTCTTCCCGAGGGGCTGGAAGCAAAGAACAGGGGACGCGGACAAAGGTTTCTCCAGGGCTATTAAGAACCCTGTGCATGACGATAGGAGCACCAGGCAGGATTTCGTGCCTAGGCTCCATCAGGCAGACCAAATTCTCAGGTCAGTCTATATATAAAAATGAGGTTGCATATCCAGTAGATCTCAGGAAGAGGACACTCAGGATTGTTGCCGATTCTCAACTGGAAATTGGATGGATCAACAGAGCTCTGCAGAGGTGCAGGGACTCTGCGTGCAGCTCCAGACAGGCTGAACCTTTCACCCACTGCGGGGAGCAAGCAGCCAACCCTCGAGCTCTCCATGGTGCTGAACCCAGCCCACCCATCCCTGTGTGCGGTTTCCTTCTCATTAACAAAACCCATGTTCCTGACAGGTCTCCGTGAAGACTCCTGAGAACTCCTGGCCCAGGCTTCCTCCAAGACTTCATCAAAGAGTGACAAGCAAGATACAGCTTGAGAGATGAAAAGCGGACCTTGGTCAAACTATCTTCCCCCTTCCTCTCTGAGTTTTAAAATGAATGCAGAGACGCTAAGTACGTCTCCAAAACAAAACCAAAATTAAAGTTCTTTCCCATCATGTGATGAAACTCAACAGGTGCGAACATGCGTAATAGGCACGACTTTGTAAACACAGAAAATGATCAGTGGTGAACAATGCATTGAGGAGATTGAATGTTCCCAGGGAACTGTATCTATGACAGCAAGTAGGGAAAACAAAAAGACATAAAAAAATAAAAAAACTGACATTCTAGGGGCTGGAAAGAACATACAGGAGCTGAAGTGCCTGCCTTGTTATGGCCAACCCTGGCTCTATCCCGGTCACCATATGTGGTCCCTCAAAACATCACCAGGAGTTAAGCACTACCAGGTGTGGCCTAACTGCCCCAAGCTCCCCCCTCTCCCCCCACTGCTAAAACCCTAATATTTTAACAGTTAGTTCTCTTTACTACTACAACACAGTAGTTTTCAAATTATATTTGAAAGGAGAAATAGTATACTGGGTTAGGTGCTTATCTTGCAAGTTACCAACCCAGGTTAGATCCCTGGCACCACATATGGTTTCTTGACCATAGCCAAGAATGACCCTGAGCACAGAGTCAGAAAAAAGCCCTGAGTACAACTGCATGTGCAAGCCCCTCTCCTCCCCACCACCAAAAAACCAAAAACAAAACAAAACAAAAAAACCCACAAACAACCCTACATTTTACAGAATTCTAAAGGTTACTAGGGCTCATTAGAAATCTTGAGGAAAGAAGGTTGTGAGAATAAGGAATTCCAGGAAGTCTTCTTCCCCGTTTCAACCAAAGTCACCTCATCAGCTTTTTCATACACTGAGAGTTCATGTAGAATTTTGTCAACAATATACTGTACACACTGATGATTCTGAAAAGACCCATACAATAGTAACCAGGAAAAAATATTCTAGATACTCTGACATGGAGGGAATCTGAGATAGAGCTAAGACATTAAATTTTCAGCTGAGGAAAAACTACAGGCCAGAGATGTTACCCAATTCAGTATCACAAGAATTAACAGCACCTAAGCTGCACCCTAACTGCTTCCTACCAGGCCGCAGCTGACTGAACACAAGACTCCAACACCCAGACAGAGCAGTATAAGTCTAGATCCATTAAGACTAAGAATCAGCAAGACTCTCCTGATGGAATGGAGATCCCAAATCCTACCTCCTTCCACAGCCCTGCCTAGAACAGAAAACTTTAAAATTAAGTGTTCGGAAGATCCAAGTTCTTAAAAACCGCCACCAACAATACTCCAGTGAATAAACTAGACTCCCCAACTTCTCTTCTATACTCCCGTTATCTCCGGCCCGAGGACTCCCTCAACAGCTGTGGCCGTTCCCTGCACTGAATTTAAGACTTCAGATCTGAAAATCCCATCAGCCTCCTAACCTGGGTTGCTACTACTGTGGGACTTTTCAGTCTTCTGGTCTCAAGCCAAGCATTTCTGCCTGCGTGCTTGCTGGCATTCTTTCTATGCTCACTGCAAAAGGGCTGGCCTTTACTGACCGGTAAACTGAGGCTTTTGCTTACGGAGTTTATTAAAGAGGATATAAAATGTAAGACTAGACAAATTTATCACATTTTATTCTTCTATTCATTTCTATTATCTCTCTAGACAAATCCCAGTCTCAATAACTGACCAAAGAAGTGCTATGTTCATGTTTTTTTTTTTTTAAAGAAAGATAAGAAAAACAATCAGAAGTGGAGACAGAATCACCCTTGTCGATAAGAAAAGGTTCCAAGCGGGTTTAATTATTAGTCAAGCACCATCATCGTTTCTTGAATCGCTAATGCCCCCTGGTGGTTAACAAACTACATTAATAAAACTTAAATGCAGATACTTCAGATTTGCATTACATGTCACCAAAACCAGGAAGAATTTGGAGGTAACATGCACTCAAAGTATCAATTATACTCATCTCTAGTTTTTGTTAAATAATCAATTTCTAGTTTCTGGGGAAAAATAAAAATCAAACAAAATTATATGAGTCGAACTTTTATTTTTTTTTGGTTTTGTGGGGGAGGGAGTTGGGGGGCCATGCCTGGTGATACTCAGGGGTTAATCCTGTGCCTGCACTCAGGAATTACTCCTGGAGGTGCTCAGGGAACCATATGGGATGATAGGGATCAAATGCAGGTCAGCTTCGTACAAATGCCCTACCTGCTGTACTATTGCTCCAGCCATGAGAATCAAACTTCTGGGGCTGGAAAGAATATAGCGGATAAGGCCCTTGTCTGGCACGTGGCTTACCTGGGTTCACAACCAGCATCCCAAATGGTCACCCAAGCTCTACCAGGAGTGATTCTGGAACACCACTGGGTATGGTCCAAGCCCTCCACCCCCCCCCCAAAAAAACAAAAATAACCCTTAAACTTTTTTATGCCTCTTCCCACAGCTTATCTTTCCCATTTATCACCCTTCTCACCAAAATTCCCACATCCAGCAATACCAATCAGACAATACATGTGCAAAAGGGGCTTCAATTTGTAAGTAAAAACATTTTTTATTAATAAAAATCTTTTCATTATGTCTAAAGCAAATGATTACAATGAAATAGCTACATACAGTGAAATTAGAAGTATCCCAGCATGACAAAAATACATCTATAAACGCACACCTAAAATCACCGCCGCCTCCGGAAACCTGAAAGGAAGGGAAGTGAGAATGAAGCAAGGGAGAAGCGGTGAAGCTAAAGGACAAAAATCTCCAAAGGGCTCAAGGGGGTCATGTGGTCCCAACAGCACCTTCTACAGAGTCCCAGGCAAGAAACCCAAACCAAAGTGACACTTTCCTATTTCTATTTTAAAAAGTCCGAAAGGGGCTAAGTACAGCACCTTCGAACACAATTCAGAAATCCCTTGCTGACGTGTGATGCTGATTTCCAACTTGAAAACAATGAATAAAAGCTCCCAGCAAAAGATTTGCTCCCAGTATGGAAGAGATCCCACAGGGTTATTAGCAAGATGGGCGTCGAAGCCCTGTACTTTCCTCTCACCGCAAATTCCGAGTGGGCATCCCAAATCACACTCTCCACCCAGCACCTGACCACCTACATCCTACGATTCACTCACTGACCTTTTTTCTTCCGGCCCTTCTTAGGTATCTTCTTCCTCTTCTTAGCAGGATTCTGGTCCTGGAGACAGATGGAGACATGCAGAAGTGAGGAGATGGAGTGTATGACAGGCCCTTCCCCGGCGGTTGGTGTGATACCACCCACTGTGTTATCTGGCTAAAAGCACAAAGGCACCTGGCATCAGCATGATGGCGACCAGCTCACCTCGTCAAGATGCGGGGCTCCTCCTGTCAGGGCACTGATATCACTGAAGTGTGTGAGGGAATGAAGCTGGGAGCTCATGATGCTGGCCCGCTTCCGCCGGCCTTTCTCGCGCTTGCTGACACTTAGACGCACCATCATGCTCTCCTCATAGTTAAGCCTGCAGAGGAACACAGACACTGTGACCAAGGAGCTCCGTCCCTCCAAAGACACAGAAAGCCACTGCCCAGTGAGTCATCCCCCCTGGGCCAGAGTTCCCAAGAACTTCCAGAGCAGGTCACAGAGAACTGGTGAGACTTGTGGAAATCCCCCACTGAGATTCCTCAATGAAGTGGTTCTTGTGAGAAAGCCTCTCACCCTCCTAGACGTGAACTCACAGCCCATCATAGCAAAGCAATAAAGAATGAATCAGAAAATTTGTCTACGACAATGCCATAAGCAGGTTTCCCTAAATGGGCTTTTTCACAACCAGTAAGGCAGTATTCAATTCACAATCACTTTCAATTACTCCTGCATCTATTTCGCACTCTCAGTGCCATTATAAAAGTCTGCCTTTACTGCTCTCTGCAAGAAAGAGCTGAGAGAGTAAAATAAAATCCCTCCTAGGTGGAACTGCACATTTCCCTCTCCATACGGCATTTGCTTGGCCTAAACAATGGTGGGGGTGGAGGGGGGGAGTGATGAGTGATGCCAGCGCAAGCTGGGGTGGTGGAGAGGGGAGAGGGAGGTATGCTGCCCCAGTTCCAATTTCATACACAGTTTAAGCCTCAAATTCTTAGAAACTGTCACCCCAGGTTTTCACTCCGCTTTCTATAGAATGTGGGCTCCTTGATTACAGACACAATCGTATTTATCCACAACACAGGGCTAGATGCCTACGATAAGGAAAAAACTCTGAATTCCTGGGGCTCAGACCTGTGCTGGTCCTCCTGGCTCTGGCGGGTTGCGTGAGGATGCCGGGCATCCCGGATTTCCTCTGGGGCATCTGAATACTGCTCCTTCAGCTCACGAATGACAGAGCTGCTTAAAGCCCGCTTCTTGGCCCGTTCCAGCCGCTTCTTCTCCCGCTCAGCTTCTGTTTCATCTGTGTAAGAAATAAAAATCAGGGCCTGAGCAACAGTACATTGGGTAGGGCGTTTGCCTTGCATGAGGCTGACCCAGGCTCGATTCCCAGCATCCCATATGGTCTTCCGGCACTGCCAGGAGTAATTCCTGAGTGCAGAGCCAGGAGTAATCCCTGAGCATAGCTGGGTATGAGAGAGAGGAGAGAGGAGAGAGGAGAGAGGGAGAGCGAGGGAGAAAGGGAAAGAAAGAAAGAGAGAGAGAGAGAGAGAGAGAGAAAGAGAAAGAGAAAGAGAAAAAAGAAAAACCAGCAAAAGTGGGCCAGAGAGACAGTACAGGGTTTGGATGCATGTGGTCAACCCCAGTTTGATCCCTGGCAGCACATGTGGTCCCTGAGCATCACAGGGTGTGGCCCCCCTCGACCCCAAATAAAAAATTTCAGCAAGAGTTTCCCCAGGACACAAAAGACTCGATTCACGCCAAGGCAGCAGCCGCAGTTGTTCATACCATAATGCACTGGAACCAAACGTGGTGGGACATATTTCTTAACTCCTCCTTTTACAGATTTCTTCCCTGAAGCCTCGGACTGGCCTTCCTCTGCTTCCTCCTCCTCGTCCTCAGAACTCAACTACAAAAGGAGTATAATGCTCACAAATTTAGAAGGTATATTTTTTTGGGTCACAGAAGAGAGAATAAAAACCGAAAGTGCAGAGCCCCAGGAGATGAGTCTCATCACGAGGCGCAAGGAGGCAGGGGCAGCCCTGTACCTTGCTCTTCATGTTGCCTGGCTGAGGTCTGAAACGGAGGGGATCGTTCTCGCCTGAAGGAAAAAGAAAAATCCAAGTTATCTAAGTAAGACTTGGAACTTTATGAGGGTGCCCACGTAAAACTTCTGCTTCCCACTTCACCTTTTCTCTTCCCCACTTACTGAGGCTGCCTGTGACTGCAGTCCTGACCAATTTGTCAATTTGATACTTCAGTTTCTGGTCCAAGGGACGAAGCTTTTCCAAAACCTACAATGAAGTTCAAACAGGATCACCTTCTCTCCCCAAAAGCAAACACAAGCAGAGTCACCGTATCAAATAAACTGCCAGTGACAACACGAGGCACAGCAAGAGAAACACACAATTCTCCCTTTTGGCTTCCTCACTCACATACTGACTGAACCAAGATGTCAGCTGGGGACTTAGAAACTTGGAACTCTAAGGTGCCGAACGCTTATTACCGTGCGGATCTCCACCAGTCTCAGAACAGAAGCGTGGCCCTGAAGTGACCCTCCTGAGGCTTTCTCCAGGATGAGATGGCTCAGATCCATCAGATACATGAGGAGCAGCTGGTCTTTCACTTCCAAGAGGCTGAGACCCTGAGAGGAAAGAAATGGGAAGCGATGCAGAGTGTGGGCAGAGAACCAAGAGCCGACTGGAGTGCAAAGGGCAAGTTTGCCAAACTCCGTTTCTTTCAGTCAGTTTACAGAAGAGTGGAAGGGAGTCTCTGGGGAGGGCCGTAACTACTAAGATAGCTAAAGAGAACACCATACCTAACACAAGCCGGCAAGGAAATTCTGGAAGATATTGAGAGCAGAAAAAAAAAATCAATGAAGTGGCCCCTAAATAACTACCTTAGGGCTCCCCAATCTCAGAGGTGCGGAAGGCTGAGGACAGACACCTCTGTGCAGTGGAGGGGCGTGTGCTCTTGCAGGGAACTCGAGCACCCCTGGCTTCCATCCACCGATATTCTGATGAATTTGCCAATGAAAACAATCTCCACACAGAGCCAATTTTAAATTAATTTCATAACACCAACTTATTGATTTTTTCTCCTCATACTATGGAATTACACAATAAAGATTCAAAAAACAACAATCTATGCCTGATGGCATGGGCTTAATTTTGTTTCAACACAAGTTGCAGCAAGTATATTTAATACAGTTTCAATTAAGGGAAGAAATATGTGGCACGATTTACATGCATACACAGTTAAGACACAATTAACTGTTACTCCTAAAAATGGAGTTGAAAAGAAACTATTTATCCTAAGAAAGTCCTTCCTTCCTTCCTTCCTTCCTTCCTTCCTTCATCCCTCTCATTCCTTCCCTCCTTTCCTTGCTCTGATCTCAGGGAGCACTCCTGGTGGGCTTGCGGAGTTATATGGGGTGCTGGGATAAAACCAGGCTGGCTACCTGCAAGGTAAGTATTCTGCCCACTGTACTACTGCTCCAGCTCCTCAACTGCACTGCACTGTCCTCCTGTTGTTCATCTATTTTGCTCGAGCGGGACCAGTAACATCTCCATTGTGAGACTTGTTGATACTGTTTTTGGCATATCATATATGCCATGGAGGCTTGCCAGCCTCTGCCATGCAGGCGGGATACTCCCAGTAGCATGCTGGGCTCTCCGAGAGGGACGAAGGAACTGAATCCGGGTTGGCAGCGTGCAAGGCAAATGCCCTACTGCTGTGCTATCGCTCCAGCCCAGTCCCTCAATTATTTTTAAAAAATAAATAAAGCAACCCAAAATTCAGAGAGGCTGAAAAGATAGTACAGCGGGCAGGGAACTTAATTCGCATATACCAAACTCCACCGTACTATTGCTTTGGTCCTCCAGGATGCATCTTTGAAGCAATGACTGTTCAGGAGTATGTCATAGACAAGAAGGTAGCACACTTTTCTTCTAGTCCAAAAAGGTCCACACAAATGTTCTCTCTTTTCACTATTCTCTCCTGACTAGTACACAGAACCCTGGCATGACCTCTACTGCTTATAAATTATAGCTTGACCGGTCTTCTCTATTGTTTTAACACAGAGAATAGATCTTATTCAACTTCAAAGCTCCAGCACTGGGGCTGGAGTGATAGCACAGCAGGTAGGGCGTTTACCTTGCACACAGCTGACCTGGGTTTGATTCCCAGCATCCCATATGGTCGCCCAAGCACTGCCAGGAATAATTCCTAAGTGCAGAACCAGGAGTAACCCCTGAGCATCACTTGGGTGTGACCCCCCCCCCCCACAAAAAAAAAAAAGGGCTCCAGCACTCCAAACATACAAGAACTCAGTAATTCTACCACAAAAGAACCAGTAATGACATCAAATCAAAAATGACTATTTTTTCAATTGCCCAGATAGTGCATTTATATCTTTTTTTAAATTTATTTTTTGAAATAAATCACTGTGAGATAGTTACAGATTTAGAAACTTTCATGCTTATGTTTCAGTCATACAATGATTGAGTACCCATCCCTCCACCAGTGCCCATTCTTACCAGTATTACCAGTATCTCTCCTGTCACCCCTACCCCATCTCTACCTTCTGCCTCTGTGGCAGGCACATTTCCTCTCTCTCCTTTGGGTGTTATGGTTTGCAATACAGGTAGTAGGTAGGCATCATGTTTGGCCTATAGACTACTTTCAGCATGCATCTCCTATTCCAAGCAAGTCCTCCAAGCGTCATTCACTTAGTGGTCCCTTCTCTATTCCAGCTGCCTTTCCCCCCAGCATTTGAGGCCGGCTTCGAAGCCACGGAGCGATCCTCCTTGCCCTTATCTCTATTATCTTTGGGTGTTAGTCTCCCATTTTGTTACTTTACACTCCACACGTAAGTGCAGTCATTCTATGTCTGTCCCTCTCTCTCTGACTCAAGAAATGACCACTTTTGAAGTGTGTCTTACCTTCTCTGTAGGAAAGGCTCTGGCTTGAACTTTTTTGGTCAGAGCTTGCACTTGTGCAGTTACGGCCATCACCTGACACAAGACCAAATAAAACAGTTGATTAGAACAGATCAAATCATCTTTGTGAGCTGTGAGGTAGGGAAAAGCCAAATGACATCGCGGAGAAAAGATCTGAAACATTATCTGATCTACAGGACTACTTTCTTCTACATTCTGGGCAAGGACAGATGGCTTCCCTGATGCTTTGTCCAAAGGTAGGAAAAACATTTCACCTTACATCTAAGGAAACCATCATTCCAAACCACGTAGTGGGGGACAATAAACATAAATATAAAACGTCAATAGTTGGGTACCCAAAGGGTGAATCATGTCACCATTGCCAGCGTCTATTTCCTTAACTCTAAGAACAAAACGCAAACGGACTCAGATGACCTTTTTTGGCCGGCTTCCGTGGAACACGAAAGCCAATTAATGGAGTCACCGGTATCTAAAGGTTCACGAAGTCATTTTGCTCTAGGACTGGACGAGCTTTAAACGGGGCCAGAGCGCGGGCTCCGCATGAGGGGACCTCGGTTCCATCCCATCCCCGGCACCACATGGTCCTCCAAGCCCTGCCAGGCGCAGCCTCTGGACACTGAGCCCCTGAGCATAACCGGATATGGCTCTCCCCGCGGGGGTGGGGGGGTGGGGAATGGAAATGAAGAAATCGTTTTGCTCTAATGGCGTTTGGCAGCGCATTCGGGGGTGTCGGGAAGTTCGGCGATCTCTTTCAGGTGGATGACAGCACTCACCTGCTCCTGGAGGGTTTTCAAGAGAGTCACGGCAGTTGGCAGGTCTGACTCCAACACCTCCTGAAGGGGAAAGCGGCAGAGATCAGAAAAGCCGCTCCTTCCTCAGGATCATCCAGCGGGCATCATCCCAGGTGTCAAGCCCCGCTCCCCGCGTCCCCTCCAAATGGCCTTTGCGCGTCCACGCCCAGACCCGTGTCTCTATTGTTACTTTCGCCCCACCAAAGCAGGGACGGCGCGTCCCGGAGGCTACCCTCGCCTTCCCGCGCGCTAATCATCTGCTTCAAGCAGCAGACGGGGAAGGAAACCTCCAGATTCGCCACGGGAGGAAGAAAAACCACGAGCCCTACCGGCGCCGCCATCTTTGCCAGACCCGCCCCTTCCGGAGTCGCACTTCCTGAGAGCGAATGTTGTAGCGCCAGACTTGAGGCCTCGACCAATAGGATTCGCAGGTTTGTTTTTACTTCCGTCCCACGAGGCGAAGAGGGGTTCAGCCAATGAAATAAAAGAACTGGGGGAAATGCAGACAAATTGAGGCTAAGCCAATAAGAACTGAATATATGATTGATTGACGGTCGCAGGAACCCAATAGAAAAAAGGGGCGAAGGCGCGACCTGAGGGCGTATTGGCTCCGGCACGCCGCAAGACCCGGTGGTGGGCGACGCTTCCCTCGCGATGCCGGAACTGGCCGCTAGGGGGCGGGCCTTGGTTTGTCCCTGAGGACGCCACGTTGCGGGGCCGCCATTGCTGGCTGATACTTCTGCGCGCGCCGTGCGAGTTTCGTAGCCAAATTCCCCCCCTCCCCCCCACACACACCCAGACTCTTACATTGATTTGGGAGCAACGGCCTAAAGTGACTGGAGAAGTCACTTAGTCTTTGGGCCTTTTTTTCTGGTGTAGATGCAAGTGGACGCAGAGAAGCCCCGAGTCTTGAGCCGCTGTCCCCGGTCGCTGCCGCCAGGGGGCGCTGCGCCGACGCCCTGGCTGGGTCCTGGCGCTGGACGTTAGGGGACGGGAAGGGGCTGGTGTGACTAGCCGCGGAGCCTGGGGGACTGCCCGCCTCCCGCAGGGCTGCAGCGCGACGTGGCTTTTTTTTTTCCTCATTACTCAGACACTCCCGCGCACTCCTGCTGCTCCGGGCCTCCGTGGCTGGTCCTGCTGCCGAGTACAGGGCGTTACGCTCACTCGTTCCCTCGTGTAACGGTTGCGTTCAACTAGCGGGTTCAGCATCTTTGCATAGACACTGAGCCACTGGGGGCACAGTTTGAAAGAGAATTAATACACGTACCAGAAAATTCACTCGCTTCAAGACTAAAATTAGATGGTCTTGCGTTGCAAAGATGATCAGTTTTTGTTTGGTGGGTTTTTGGGGCCACACCTGGCTGGCAGTGCTCCGGTTACTCGTGGCTCCGCACTCAGGAATTACTCCTGGCAGGGGCTTGGGGACCGTATGGGATGCCCAGGGTCAAACCCTGGTCAACTGGGTGCAAGGAAAGCGCCCTACACGCTATACTATCGCACCGGCCCCATTATTATCAGTTTTTAGAATGGCTTTATTACCCCCTAAAGATAGTGTATGCCATATCAGTTAATCCCTTTACGCCTCTCCCTCCCCCCTCCTCCCCCCCATCCCTACCCTTATCCCTAAGCAATCTCTCATCTTTGTACTCTTAGAGGGTGGCTTTCCCTTGCAGGAAGTGTTTAAGGTTTGTCCCTGCTGTGTCATATGTATCATTCCTTCTGGCGAATGAGGTTTCACCGTCGGCAATGACATGTTTGATTTATTCTTGCATCCGTTGGTGAACACTTGGATTGTCTCTGCTTTGGAGTTGTTAGAAATAAAGCTGCTATGGACGTTGGTACATAGTTTTCGTATGCATGTGCCTTTACCTTTCTTTTGGGTGTATACCTGGGGAAGAACTTGCTGGAAACTTAAATCTTTCCAGGAACTGCTACCCCATCTCCACATAGAAAGATGCCTATCAACATGGTTATGATGGATTGGTTTGGTTTGGTTTTATTCCAGTAGGAGCCATCCTTATATGTGCTAGATTAGGGAGGGGGAGATACTCTAAGGGTAGTCAGCCTGCTGGTGGGGGCCCGAAGGTACTCTTGGGGGATGCTAAGCTAGGATCACACTAGGCAGTGCTTGAAGATCCCCAGGGCTCCTTTCAGTGACCAAACTAGAGACTTCACATGCCACGCAGGTGTTCAACCCCTTTGAGCTATATCCTTGGTCCCTAATATCTTTCTTTTTTAAATAATAGCCTCCCCGATGAACATGAAGTAATGTCTTGAGTTCCCTAAAGGCTAATGATGTTGAACATCTTTTCATATATGTGAGTCAACTTTTTTTTTTTTTTGCTTTTTGGGTCACATCCAGCGATGCACAGGGGTTACTCCCGGCTCTGCACTCAGGAATTACTCCTGGCAGTGCTCAGGGGACCATATGGGATGCTGGGAATCGAACCCGGGTCGGCCGCGTGCAAAGCAAATGCCCTACCCGCTGTGCTATCGCTCCAGCCCCTGAGTCAACTTTTATACTTTCTTTTATTTTGATTTTGTTCCTGGTTGGATGTAGGGCTTACTCCTGGCTCTGTGCTCAAGGATCACTCCTGGCAGTACTCTGGAGACCAGATGGGGTGCAGAGGATTGGAACCCAGGTCAACTGTATGCAGTGCACACATTTCACCTGTAATACTGTCTTTCAATTTTTGAATTGTACATTACTAACATATGCAGAAACAACTGATTTTTGTACATTAATCTATGACCTGCAACCTGATTTGGTTTATCTATTCTAATGTTTTAGTGAATTTCTTGGACTTTTCTATCTATAAGGTCACACCACTTGCAAATATAGTTTCATGTTTTCCTTTCAGCTGTCCTCTATTTTTACTTCCTTCCAGTTATTCTTTAATTTCTTTTTTTGACTAATTGCTCTAACTCAGTGTAATGTTGAATAGAAAATGCACAAATGGAATCCTGTTCCTGATCTTAGAAAAAAAGCTTTAAGTCTTTCAGCATTAAGTATAGTCATCTGCTGCATATTAACTTTTCTATCAATGATGCACAGAATATACAATGGTGGACCCTGTCTATAGCCTGGGTGTGTTGAAACTATCTCCATATAGGCTTATATAAGTGTGCAAGAATGAAACTGGCCATGTAATTTTTAGAATGTCTCCCTGTCATTAAGTGATATAGAATTGCTGTTAGCAATGGAAATGACACTTGACTGAATGATGTTAGCTGTAGGGTTTCAGTGAATGCCCTTAATCACCTTTCTATTTCTAGTGTTGAGTGTTTTTTTTTTTAATCATGAAAGGGTGTTGGGTTTTGTCAAAGCCGGGTTCTAGGGGACAGAGAGATAGTACAGTGGCTGTTTGCCTTGCATGCTACTGACCTGAGTTTGATCCCAGCATCCCCTTGTGGTACCCTGAGCACTTCCAGGAGTGATTCCTGAGTGCAGAGCTAAGAGTAACCCCTGAGCATCACTCGGAGTGGCCCAAAACAAAACAAAAAAACTGGTTCTACTGAGATATTCTTATGAGTACTGTCCTTGATTCTGTTGCTAGAGCATATTCTATTCATTGGTTTTTCAGATAACCCAGTTTTGCATTATTAAGTATGTTCCTTTTTGGTTTGGTTTTGGTGTCCCACATGCTAGCAATGTACAATTCAAAAATGAAGGTAAGGACACAATTCCTTTTACAATTAAGTAAGAAGACAACCATAGAATGGGAAAAATATTTGCAAATCATATATCTGATAATCTTTGAATGCAACAGTTAATGTGTACCCAAGTCGGGAACTCAACATGACGAATGACCCGGCACCTGAGTTGCACAGGAGGAAGAGAGCGGCTTGGAACGAAGAACCTCCGGCTCTGGGCACATCTCTTCGATTCCACTGTTCTTCCTGCATTAACATATGCTTCAGAGACCTGGGCCCTACGCAAACAGGATGAGAACGCTATTCGGGTCTCCCAAAGAGGAATCAAAAGAGCTATGCTTAGAGTATCATGCTTCACTCAAGCGAGAGAAAGAATCCAGAGTTCCGACCTCTGCCGATGATCGAGAATCAGGGACGCTGTCTCGTTTGCCAAGGCATCAAAAATCAGACGTTACTGGTGCCCTCTCGAGCAAACCACTTGATCACTTGATGTCAAGTGATCAAGTGACAAGGGACTTGTATAAAGAGTATATTAAAGCTAATAACTAATAATAAAAAATTAATCCAGTTTCAAAGTGGATTACTGATTTGAACAGACATTCCATAAAGAAAATAAACAAGAGGGGAAGAGAGACAGTATGGCAGGTAATATGTGTGCATCGCATAGTTTTTTTTTCTCTTTTTGGTCCACATTTAGTGAGGTCACTCCTGGTGGTGCTAAGTACCATATGTGGTAGTGAGGATTAAACTAACATTGACCACATGCAAGCAAGCACCTTAACTCCTCTATAATATCTTTGTTCCTTAAATCTTTTAATATGTTTCTGAATTCAGTTGCTAGTATTTTGTTGGGAAAAATGTTTATTTTTATTCATGATATTTTTCTATGTTTTAGTTTTCTTTGTGGGGGAGCAATGCTCTGGCAATGCTCAGGGGTTACTCCTGGCTCTGCATTCAGGAATTACACCTGGCAGTGTTCCGGGAACCATATGGGATGCCAGGATTGAACCTGGGTCAGCCACATGCAAGACAAATGCCTTACCAGATGTGTTATCACTCTATATTTTATTTTTCTAAATAAAATATTTTAGTTTTTTATTTTAGTTTTCTGTATTTTAGTATTTCTGTTTTCTAGTGATGTCTTTGTCTAGTTTATGTATCAGGTTAAATATTCCAATTCAAAGAATGAATTTTAACAGCTATATACACAACACACATTTTTGTTTTGGCTTTGATTTGGGGGTCATATCAGGTGGTGCTCACTTGGCTAAATGCTTGGGGTTTGCTCCTGGCAGTGCGCTTAGGATCAAAGCATGCCCTCAGCCTGTTGTGCTAACTCTCTCTCTCTCTCTCTCATTTTTGTTTTTGGCACAGCTGATAGTGGTCAGGATCACTCCTAGAGGGGCTCGGAACCATAGGGGTACCAGGGATCAAACCTGGGTAGGCTACCCTGCCCACTGGCCCTTCTTCGGCCCCTGTCTGTAGTGGTTCTCACAGAATCTGCTTCAGAGAACTAGAGACAGATCTTCCCAACATGTGTTTTATGATGAAGTAAGAGAAACCAGTCTATTGTTTCAAGATCCCAATAATTTCTGGGCACGGGAGCTAGCGTGTACTTTGCAAGCCAGAGACCTGGGTCCCATCTCATGCACCACATGGTCTCCCAAACACTGCCCGGAGTGACCCTGAACACGGAGTCGGGAGTAGCGCACTAGTA